CAATGGGAAAAACAACCAGTGCAATAGGTGCTGCTGATTTTCTCTCCCACATACTCCCTAGAGGTACTGTGCTTGTTAGATGCAATGAGGTTGATTAACAGGACAGGTGCTGAGCCCAGTGCAGAGGACAGAGGTCAATTGGTTTGCACTTCCCTAATTCCAGGGTTGTCAGGTACCTGTTGGGCATCTAGTGTATGTTACGGTAACCCTGAGGGTTACCTTAAATTGGGTCTCAGTTGCTGTGACTCATGGACAGCCTATTGCACCTGGACCTTTTCAGGGAGGTGGGCTCTTAGGACATGTGTGCATGGGGAATTTTACCAGTATAATTATCCTTCAGACAAGCCGTTCATCTCAACTGAAGCCTGGTTAGAAAGAGCAGGTACGCATTGCTATCATTCCTAGCAACTTTGACACAGGTATGAAAACTACACATGGAGGTCTGATCCAAAGCCTACTGAAATCCATGGAAGGCTCCTTATTGCTCTCTGTAGGCTTTGGATGCCTCCTGCCAGGCAGAGGAAAACCAAGACTCTGCCTCTCTCTGCTTCCAGATAGGACGCCTCCCCATTCCCCCCAATGCAGGGCTGTGGCATAATCTGCTTTTAAGGGTATGTCTACTGCGCAAGTAAAATCCTGTGGCTGGCCTTTTCTAGCTGACTCGGGCTCACAAGGCTTGGGCTAATGGGTTGTTTAACTGTGATGTAAGCATTCAGACTTGGGCTGGAGCCTGGGTTCTCAAACCCTGTGAACTGGGAGGTTCACAGAACATGGGCTGAACCCAAGCCCAAACATCTACAGTGGGCTGGAACAAGAGAAATTCTTCTCCAGCTCCTGGGCCATTGTTTTGCCACAGAATCTGTCCTTTTGTGTCTATGTATCATTAGGTTAAACCCATGCAGGCTCACTAATGGGGGTGGGGCAAAGGAGACAGTTGCCCCAGGGCCTGGTGATTTAAAGGGGTACAGAGCTCGGGCAGCAGCCACTGCTGCACCACCATGCTCTCTGGAAGTGCTAAGAGCTAGGGTGGGAGCATGCTGTGCTCTGGGAAATGCTGAGGGCTGTCTGGGGCCAGCATAGTGTATTCTGGGTAGCTCTGAAGGCTGGCAGAGCATGCCATGCTCTAGGCGATGCCAAAGGCTGGCTGCCTCCAGCTCTGCCCCTTCTCCCCTCAGCCCCGCTGCTTCTGGGAGTGCAGAGCTGCCCTCCCTCTTGCTCAGAGGCCTGCAGAGGCTATTGTCTCCCTTAGCACATTCCCAAGTCCCTGAGCAAACTAAAGCTCATGAATAGGAATAATCAACTCCAACCACACTGGAAGTTAGGATCCATGTTTCTAGGCTATGAAGATATTAGGTATATGACATACAAAGCTGGAGCTAATGATATGTGACAGGACCTATCAGGCCACTTGCTAATCCAAAGTGAGCCACTGAAACCAAACTCTGGAAAACAGGATCCTCTGTAGGCCAATTTCCTTTGAGCTTTAGATAAAAGGGAATTAAAAATAATGACATTAAGGGGCCTCTCATAACACTCTGAACACTCGAAAATGCAAGATAATGTATTTACGCATATAGTACTTCTGAATCTTTATTTTCTGCACTTATGAGATCCTCTAGAAAGGATATTTTCATTCCAGAACAATGCTGGGTTTTTTTTCCACTTCTTCTTTCAGTTAATAATGGAACTGAATTTCATAGATCAATACTTTGTTTTTATAAGCATCCATGATGGCAGCACAGTTTGGGGAAGTGGGTATGCTAATCAAGCCATTGTTCCTTTTCTGGCTATTTCTGCAGTAACAGCATAAGATAATTTTAAAGAACTCTTAAATGCTCACCAGCAAGGTCCACATTGACATTCAGTCTGTGGTAGACTACTGCAGGGTAGACTCATAGCCCTTCTTGCCACAAACTCAATATTCCTGTAGACAGGTTCTTAGGTTATGCATCAGGGTTGGCTGTTATTTTGTAATTGATTTTTTTCTCAGTAAGGACATTTTTTTTAAAAATGTGACTTTGCATCTGTGAGCCAGATCTTCTGGTGGTGCAAATTGGGATAGCTCCAGCTTTGTATTCTCTGTGGATCTGGAATTTCTAGACAAAGCACTGTATTGCTGCTTCCTTCCCACTATGAAGCAAGGGGAGGAGCACACAAATGCAGAATAGGCTGGAAAAGTCCGAAGGCCAGTGGAAGAAGGAGCGCAGGTGATTCAGTGGCATGCTCATCTTTCCTAGTAGCAAATGGAAGCCTGATGTGTTTTGAACTCTAAGGTGTTGGGAGGGGAAGGTTTGAAGCAGGAGGAGATAATGAGCACACACTCCGTCTGTGACAGTCTCCCTTTCCTAAGCGGCCACATTTTGTTGGGTTTTCAAGTGGCACACAGTGCTGCTAGAAAGAGTGGCCATGTCCAGTCTGTGTTGATCTCTGGAAAGGGGGAGCAAGATACAGGCATGGCAGGAGCAAATAATAGCAATATAGTGGGCAAGGAATTGTTGATTCCTGAGCAGAGGTAGTCTAGGAAAGCACCATGGAGGGGGAATCCATCCTTGTCAAACATCCGTCTGAGGTGCATTGATTTGGGAGCATAGTTCCTCATGGAACCCCAGTGAGTAAGCCATATACTGGGGATGGGATGGTTCGTAGGAAACACCATGAAATTTCTTGAGACCTTTTTCACCTTTTATGGTATGTAATATTTCAAGCCTGAACTCCTTAACACCAACTTATGCTTGAGAGAGGCTTTATCCCTGGGGCAACAGAGTAAGTACTGGTAATGGTCCTACATTCGAGTACAGCTTTAAACTTCAGCCACATCTCCAGAGGAGTCCCACCAATGGAGATGAGCTTAGTGAGTTCATAACCCAGTTCATATTGGGGGAGGTATAGGCTGGATATTAGGAAAAACTAATTCACTAGGAGGGTGGTGAAGCACTGGAATGGGTTACCTAGGAAGGTGGTAGAATCTCCATCCCTAGAGGTTTTTAAATCCTGGCTTCACAAAGCCCTGGCAGGGATGATTTAGTTGGGGTTGGTCCTGCTTTGGGCAGCGGGCTGGACTCGATAACCTCCTGAGGTCTCTTCCAGCCCTAAGATTCTATGGTTCTATCCCAGCACACACAATATGCCTCCTCCGTCCCACGTCAGCTGTGCAACTTCTCCAGCAGAGGAAAAGACTTTCTACTTCTAAGGACCTTTAACCAGCAGTGGTACTTTGGCAATGAATTTGGCTTTCGGATTGAGATTAATCAGTGTAAGACAGCCCAGAAACAAATCACCACACCCATTTCAGGTTCTTACATGGCCTCTATTATTGTACTGTCTGAGCACTTTGTGATTTTTAATATATTTATTCCCATAACACCTTATCGGGTAGGGAAGTGCTATTATCCACATTTTCAGACGGGGAACCAAGGTCCAGAGCCTCAAAAGCTACTTAGGTGAATAACATCATTTAAATTGATGGGAGTTATGCACCTAAATACTGCTTTGAGAACCTGGGCCTAAGGCTAGAACTACAGTATTTGAGAAGTCGACTGAAGATATGCAACTCGACCTACAAGAATAGCATATCTGGAATCAACATACCATAAGTCAAATTTCTGTGACATCCTCACTGCTGGAGGTTGATGGAAGTTGACTGGAGAGTTTCTTCCCTTTCTCCTTGTGACCTCATAAAGTACTGAGGTTGATTTAGTGGGTCCTTCCTAGACCTGCTAAATTGAACCCCAGACGATCGATCTTTGGAGAGTCAATCTCTGGGTAACTGTAGACCTTGTCTAAGTGAAGTTTGGAAGTCTGTGACAGAGCACAGAACCTAACCTGGTTTCCTGGCTAGTGTCTTAATTATTGAAATATCCTTTCTCTGTATTCAGCTATTCTTATTATTGAATTATTATTTAATTCTCCACATATAAGCACACTTTCTCACTTTACATTTTCTGTTGGCTTTTACGTTATTCTTTCTGTTGATCCAGTGAACTTTTTCATTTGGAAAGTGATTAAAATTTGCTTCCCCCAGATTCCCATTGTTCTGCCAGAAACACAATCCCAAAGCTTCCCCCATCAAAAAAGAAATCTTTCATAACAAGAAATCTATGTTACACTGCTGGAGTATACAAGCTAAATAAGCCAGTAGATTCTCTCCAACCCATCTATGAATTTAGGAATTAACACTAGTAAATCTTTACTAATATTTGCAATATAAACAGCACAGCACTGAGATTAGCAGACTTCATGGTGTCTTATTTGCAGCTTTTGAATTTGTAAATGAAGGGAGAGGACAGGCGTGGGTCGTTGTGGATAGGAGGGGCAATATATAGGGGAACATTGCCCTTTTGATTCATCTCTGGTATTTAATATACCAAATACTATATTCCAAACAATGTGCAAGCTAGTATTTTTTCAAATGGATTTTTTTCTTTTTTAATAGGGAAAAAAGTTTAAGCCAAGCCCTTTAGCTGTTTTTATTCCTGAATCTGGGAAATAGTTATCAGGAATTCTTTGACATGACTAAATGTTGCTTTTCCCCCATTTTCCTCATAAAGCTTGCATTTATCTCAAAGGCTGAGCAAGATGCCTTGAAAAAGAAAAAAATTATACAAATCTTTGTTAGAAGGAAAAGATACATTGCCCTTGGTACGGAGAGAGACAGCCTGGATTGGTAAATTGAGACAATACATGAATAATAAAAAAAACCACATGATATAAAATCTAATTAATTTGAGTGAGTCAATAAGTTTCTCTTTCTGAGTGCCCATAACAGAAGAGAAGGGAGTGGAGGGAGGAGATGTTAGAATTTCAATTTACCTCTTTCTCATTTAACTATTTAAAATATTTGGATAATAATTAGGAATATATGTTTTATTTAATATTAATTTTCTCTAACCCAGTCCAATTTGTTAGGTGCATCTACATATTTATTTATCAGGATATTTTGTGAATCCCTTTGGCTTTGACAGATACCCTACAGATTTTCAGTAAACTGAGGCAGGTCTTACCTGTCCTTCAGAGAGGGGAAACATCCTGTTTTGGTTAGTGGTCTTTAAAAAAATTATAAAAGTACATTGTGACAGCAATTATATCACATCACACACATGTTCTGTGGGGCTCCTTTGGTTGCCAGGCAACCAGTGGAAGGTGTGTTGTGAAAGAAGAGGGGCCCACATGTAAGAATAGAAGCTCTTCTGGCATAGGTTTCAAATACCTAAGAACAGGCTAGGATCCTTCTGTTATTTATTTTGCTATTCTTCTTTATCTTGTTCCTCTCAGGCAGGCAGCTGCTATCAAACAAGATCATCTAAGTGTCCAAAAAGAAGAATTTAAGTAATAAAGCAATATTTTTAAAGATAAGCAGGTCATATTTGGCTCTCATAAACACGGATGCAAATCCAAAGTACCTCAGCTGAAATCCTCAGAATTGCTCTGGATTTACATGGTTGAAGCTGGAAGTAGAGCATGACTTAGAACTCTGAAGATATTTATTTTTTGTTTCTGTATTCACATATAGTTTGTAAATGTTATATGCTGATTTACCAACAGACGACCGAGAGACTAATCCTGTGCTGCATCTACGTAATCACATAAATATATCTAAAAACATTTAAAGGGAAGTAATTTTCATACCATCAAACTACAGAAAATTTCTAGCTAAACTCTGTTGCTAAATTAAAGCTTGGTGCCTGCATTCGAAAGCCCATTCACACACTCCAGGGTTCTGCTGAAGATGCCTTTACAGTAGTTACGAGAATGATATGGTAAAGTAAAAATGAAGCAACTACAGAAACTATACAGAATGTTAAGTCTTCAACTATTATTCTGCCATTTCTACCAGTACCTCTAAACGGCAACCAAGCCGAACACCTGGTTCGGTCCACAGTAACAGTTCAGTGTCTCTATAGTGGTAACAATTTAGAAGCAGGATGCTAAACAAGATATATACATGATGTCAAATATTGGCTGCACACATCTAAGCCAATCACTTCTAAATAAATTAACCATGGCACTGCCTAATATGATCCACCTGCTTTCTTCCTTGTGTTGTTCCAGACCCTACCTGAACCCCCCTTTGATTAAATGTCAAAAGCTTGCCTTGTGCCTGCAGATTTCACTGAAGGCGGATAACAGAAAGGTTCCTCCTGTGACTCCATAAAACTGAAATAAATTCCACTGGCATCTTGTAAATTTTTATTTTCTACAATGACTGCAGGCCCCATCTGCGACCCAGCTGTTATTAGAAGGGAAAGCGTTGGCCCTTCTGCATTACAAAACAGCATAGAACAGTAATTGCCAGTGGAAGAGATTAAGTGTAGACACTAAAAATGTTTACTCGCAATGAATATGCATAACGATGGGTAGGAAACAGCACTGGAAGATTAAAAAGAGAGAAGGGTTTGTTTACAAGGCTGGGGAAAAAAAAGAGTGGAATGTCAGTTGGCCCCGAGCCTGAAATAGGAACGAAAAACCTTTGGGCAAGGCATTAGGGAGAAAAACAGATGGTTTGTGAACCTTTTATTAGATAGAAAAATCATTAATCAAGCCCAGGCTGGAAATGGCAGGGTTTTTGGTAGTTCATATTTTAGTTTATTTTTTCTTAAAGTGACAGTATTCTATTTTTTGACAGCCAGTGCCATGGATCTTCTTTTGACAGGCTATCCAGTCATTTTAGCATTCAATATTGGAACAAATTCTAACTTTAGGTCCACACTAGCACTGAGCTGTTCCGCAAAGGAAATCCCTTAGTAGAGTTTCACATTTCAGCACCTGTTTTGCCCTTAAAGCAAAGCCATTTTAAAAAAAGAGAAAAGTGATGGGAGAAGGGGAGTGGGAAGCCCGGTATATTTTTTTTCATGGCTGTTTCATTACGACTTGGGAGAAGAAATGTAGGGCAGGAAACTTCAACAAATGGCTTCATGAATACAAAGCTGTTTGACTGACTCTGTTAATTCAAACAGGCTAGATCACTTCTCTCTTTCTCTCTTTATTCTATCAGAAGAAGGATAAAAATGGTTATAATAGTTCACTGCATTAAAATAATGATTCCCTGAATGGAATGCTAAAAGATAATCAAGCAGTCTGATCACCTAATATACCACATGGAAATATTGTGTGGGTACCAAGTGAAACTGAAACAGCCCTTAAAACCCATTTTTTTTTTCATTTTTTATCATCTTCAATATATGACATTTCCCATGGATTAATGGCCTACTAGGATTAATGGCTCAAGGCACATCAACTCCCTGCTAGCCTTTTATTAATCCCATGGAATTGCCCTAAACTCAGGTCATTATTGTTTAAGTAACAGAATCATAGGTGGCATTCTAATAAATAACACCCCCATTTCTGGACATTTTCTTTTCCTGGGAACACTACAGAAAACAACCATTTCTTTATAGAAATTAAACTGGGCTAGAGTGGGTAGTTTATGCCTGTGCCCCACTCTGTGTTTGTGGGCATCCCTATTTCTCTGAGTGTATAATTGCTCTTGAAAATAATACCGAAGGCAGTGAGGGCATTGGGAATGGTGGTTGTTGACAGCTGGGATATCACTCCTCAGTACTCCTTTCTGGAAAAGATTCTTCTCTTAACGGCATGTCAGCACAAGTCAAATTACCCAAGGGTACCCATTGATGGATTAGCCTTTTTTGTTGGCCTGGGACAAGTCTACAAATTCTGTTGCTTGCCCTTGTTTCACCCAAGCATAAGAAAATGAGGAGGAGGGGGAATTTACATTGTAGATTGGCTAGGGTGATAGTGCTAAATTCAGCAGGCAGACACCAGAGTACATAAGGTACAACATCCAAGGAGGAATCTTAGCCCTGTGCAGAGGGTCAGAATGAGACCTGTGCATTGCTTGAAAGCCATTCATTACAAAAATACAATATTTGAAATGGACATCTAGGTCAAATGATGTGTTTCTGTTCCCAGACTGGATGAATTTAAGTCTGAGATTTCTGGGGTGAATGTTTACATTTAGACATTCAATAGTCAGTTTCTGTAAAAATATTCTTCATGAATATTTCTCCACTTAAAAGGACAGTATCAACTTGAAAAATCACATTTACATTAGGGGATATTGTAACCAGTGATATTAGCTCTAAACAAGGATTCTTACAGTAACATTAAAATTATTAAAATTGAAAGGCTGTGTTCTTTGAACATTTTGACAGCACTATTATAGCCAATCTTGCTGGGTTTGTTTGTTTGGGGTTTTTTTTATGGTCATTAGCACTTCCTGTCTCATAGACTATTACTAGCACCAGTCTTTTATATACCACTCTTGGGCAACTCATATGCATGCAGTACCCACTCCAGTGCAAGAGATTGTGTACTGGTAATAGCAGCAGGAAAGCTGAAAATGAAAGCAAAGAAGCAGCAGCATGCGTATAAACAAAGAGACGGGAAGAGGAGATGACCGGAACACATTTTGTTATTGTTTTTGAACCTAGCCAAAAGATCCCTATAAACAACAGCAGGGGAGTAGAAGAACACATTAATTTGAAAAATACATTTTAAAACAGAAAATGGCTGTAAATGCAATTTTAAAGGATGCACTGTTAGGAACAATTTCTAAAAAAAAGAAAATCAATTAAAAATGCACGTTGACAATGTCCCATTAGAATTTGCTGTTTCCATGCATGTTTGTGCTGCTAAACTTATTCACTCAAACTCAGAAAAATATTGCAAAAGGGGCAAAACTGATTCATTTACTAGAGCTTTTCTTTTACAGCATTTTCCAACTCTAAAAAGACTTATTAGGTCTGAGAGTAGATTAGAATTTTTTGGTGCAAACAATTAAATAATATCAAGTGTTTAGGTCATGGTGTTCATTGTCAGAATGGTTTACAAATACAATGCCTTCCTCACAAAAGTAATACCACTGATTTATTTTCACCAGTAAGCTCATTGTGGCCTCTTCACACAGAGTGCCCTTCCTTTGCTTGAATTTCTTCTTGAACATTCAACTCACTCATATAACAGTGATCTGCCTAAGGCTTGATTCTGCAAGGTGCTGAGCAACCCCCGGATGTGTGGATTGCCCTCCGTTCCCATTGAATTGAATGTAAGTGCAGGGTACTCAGATCAAGAAAACTCGCTCAGCTTCTGAGCTGAGATGTTTGTAGATTTCTTTGTGCCTTAGTTGCCATGTCTGCAAAATGGGGCTAAATATAATCAGGTAGGGCATGTTTACACTGGGGAGTTATTTCAAAATAACTACTGTTATTTTGAAATAACAAGGCAAGCATCCACACTACCAAGCCTGTTATTTCAAAATAATGGATTTGTTATTTTGAAATAATAACTCCTGCATGTGAAGAGGAATAAGACTATTTTGAAATAATTATTTTGGAGTTATTTTTTTGAAATAACCTGGTAGTGTAGACAAAGCCTTACAGTCTGATTCAAACCTCACTAAAATCAATGAGAATCTTTCCATTAATTACAATGAGCTTTGGAGCAGGCTCCATACAGTCCAAACGTATGTCCACAATCAACTTTAAGCATGCAAATAGTCCCTTTTGCCTCAGGTAGTGACTAATTTGATGTGTTTTGCATATAGTACAATGGAGCCTCCTTGAATAATCATCTGTGAAAGAAATAGACATGCTGAAATAATGTATTCCTTGTAGAAACATGGTAACACATTTAAAAATGTTTCTATTTTATTAACAAAAACAGCATAACAACAATTATCTGAAGACAGCATAGTCCAGTTTGGTAAAATTTCCTTCTATCAAATACTGCAAAGTTTAGTTGTATATTCATTTATTGGGTTTCTGATACACAATAAGGATTCAATTATCTCCACACCACACAAGCCTAAATACAATATTTGCTTCAAGAGTTTTGAAATAGAGAGAGAGGAAAAAAAATTGAAACCCCTTCAAAACCTTTAAAAACAATTTTAGGACCTGATTTTGATCTCTCACTACTTTTACACTGGTGTAATTACATTTTAGTGGCATGGCTTCTGATCTACTCTCAAGTTGGAAGCAAAATCAGTCCCTTACTCTTCAAACCCTGATCTTGGTTACACTGGTATAAATCTAGAG